AATTTTCCCGGATTTTCCCCGTTCCCAGTTGGGACAAACTGGAAATTTCCGAACATCCATAAAAACAGGGACACGCTCGGGTCTGGGATTTGCTGCTCCATAAAAAAAAAAGCAGAAAAATCTTGGAAGAGATTCCTGGAAATTTGGGAAGGGAAGGATGGAGATGATCCCAAAATCCACAGCCCCAAAATCCCAAATTCCCACCGGGAATTGGGGAAAAGGGGAAGCAGCGAATTCCCAAAATTCCCTCTTCCCACAAAAGAGATTCCCATGGAAAATCTGATTGGAAATTCCAAGAAATCCGGGATAAAAATGGAATAAACCCGGGATAAAGCTGGATTTAATCCAGGATTTAATCTGGGATAATATGGGATTTAATCCGGGAAAATCCGGGATTTAAACCGGGATTTAAACGGGGATAAACTGGGATTTAATCTGGGATAATATGGGATTTAATTCGGGAAAATCCGGGATTTAAACCGGGATTTAAACGGGGATAAACTGGGATTTAACCCGGGATTTAATCGAGGATAAAACTGGATTTAATCCGGGATTTAATCTGGGATAATATGGGATTTAATCCGGGATAAACCGGGATTTAATTCGGGATTTAATCCCGGTTTGGAGCGTTCCCTTTGTGGTTTCCCTCCGAATTCCAATTAAAAACCTGGGATCAGGAAGATTTTCCCATCATTCCAATAAAATGAAATTCAATTAAAGTAAAAAAAAAAAAAATTAAAAATATGAAATAAAAAAACTTCAAAGCAAAAATTAAAAGTTAATAAATTAAATTCAAAATGAAAATAAGTTATAAAATAAAAAGAAAATAGAGCTAAAATAAGTTATAATAAAATTTAAAATTACATTAAATAATAAAGTAAAATAAACAAAAATTTTAAAATAAAAAATATATTTAAGGTAATTAAGGTAATTAAAATCAAATAAGTATTAAATAGTCAAAACAAAAAATATAAGTATAAAAACAAATAATAAAAATAGCACAGAATAAAAAATATATTTAAAATTTTAAAAATAAAAATAATTAAATTAATTTTTGTTTTGCCTCCTTGCTGAAATAAAAAATTAAATCAAATGAATTAAAATAGGATTAAAAGTAAAATAAAATTTAAGAATTAAAATAAAAGTAAAAGTAAAAATAAAAACTAAGTGGAAAGTATATCAAGAAAAAATAAATAAAAATTTCATAAATAAGAATTAAATAAAGAAAACTACAATTGAATAAAATTTCAAAATAAAAAATAAATGTAAAGTTTAAGGTAAAATAAATTCAAATCCAAATTGAGAAAAAATAACATAAACTAAAAACAAAATAAAAATTAAAGAACATAAAAACAATGCAAAATAAAATTGACAAATCAAAGAAAAAGAAATAACGTTTCAACGTTTCAACAAATAAAAAGAAACTCAAATAAAATTGAAAAT